TTTCATCATTGCTTTCGGTTTTGAAATTATAATTTGTTTTTCACTTTTCATTTGGCGTCAGATTTGTGGCCAAAAACATGTGCTGATCCGCCGCTAACCACAGTGTGTTTGACCGCCGATTGGTTGACGCGGTTGTGGCCCCAAAATGTTGGCCAATCGAGTGATTTGTCGCCATTTCAGCGACCAATTGAAGCCACGAAAGCCGTCCGACAAAGTGAAGCCCATCGCCGGACTCAAGAGTTTTGTGTCCAATAAATTTGTTCAATTCATTGAAGGCTATGAACGCATTCTCGAGAAGCGCTTCCCGAAGACGTTTAAGATATACCAAGTATTCACAATCGGTTCGTACGGATCACTCGATCGTCTCTCTTATCGTTACCAAAGTTTTCAAAGACACTGTTTGTCACACAAATAATAGGCGCTAAAGATTTCTACAAAGATATCGTCCAACACTTCCAGATATCGAAACAACTCTTCGACGGCAAACGTCTCAACGAATTAAGTTATAGCGAACTTATGATATATTATAAGACACCGAAAGACATGGCACGAGTGGGTCCCGTGTTGTTGGTGTCGGCGCTCCCGTTCGCCAATTACGTGGTCTTTCCGCTCGCCTTTATGTTCCCGAAACAGCTCTTGTCCTCACATTTCTGGTCATTAGAACAAAGACAACTGTTTCAGACACAGGACCACACGAAGCGGTTATACTATTTCCGACCCGTTTTCAGACACATTCAAAGACGGCTCCCGTCTGTCACACACGACAACAAACTTCAAGTGAAGTGTCGTCAGGTGTTCGCACAGATCGGGAGCGGAACTCATCCCAGTGTTGACCGCATATTAGACATTAAGCCCGCATTCGTTAGCAAACCCTATGGAGCGAAACACTTGAAGTCTAAGCATTTGGTAATAAATCAAATTAATGCATAAAACGAGTGAATAAAATCACAATTCAATGTTTATTTAGAAAAAAACTTATTTCGAGTCTAAAAATTGCATAAAATTAGTTATTAATCCATATATGAAAAGCATTCAAAAAACATACACACAGTATATCTCTAAAAACAATCTAAATTAACCATTAAATCGTTACATCGATATAGAGTTTGGATATTAACACAACTGTTTTGATTAATACCGGTACATGTATTTTCAGTCAGATTTATGTCGGATGTATGGCTTGAATGCCTTTCCATTGGGCAGAAGGAGTCGACTTATAAAACACATGGGATTTGTACGTGAATTAGATTTGGCAATCGATAGGACAGGCATTCAAACGCTAAACTTGGATCAAATCAAAACAGTTAGTGTTCAACACTTGTTTCTTATCAAATACACTATTCATTTAATTAATTGCCTAAAAAACAATATCTTATGTTTGGCTAAAAGGCCTGTTTTATGAGAGGTTTGAATCCAATAGAGTTGAGTAAAGAAGAGATGATAGCATGGCTTCAGTCGTGGATCAGTATAGCACACAAAGTCGACAGTAATTATTAAACACGAA